GCTCTTCCAGCCGACCCCCCGGAATGTGCACAACGGGTAATGTTGGCTTTTATTTGCTGTGCAGAGAGCTTTAAGGTCATTTCATGAGGTCACGTTTGTATTTTGAAATAAATAATTTAAGGGTTTTCAGCCACAGGCTCTGCTCACCTGGCCGGAAGCCAGTGACACAGACCGGCACAGTTCACAAAGGGGACGCTGGCAGCAGACAGCGGTGTCACCAGAATGGGGATGGCTCGTGCGGGGGGCGGGGCAGGAAGCTAGCTGGTGCAGGTCTCAGAACCTGGGCCTAACAGGTCCCAGCAGCAGGCCTGTCCTGGGCCGTGAAGCGGGCACTGCAGCCCTGGGGTCCCCTAGCCACGGCCATCCTCCCTGCGCGGCCCTCGGGAGGAGGGGTAACATGACCCAGTCACTCCTCTGCAGGCGGTGACTCCCGAGCCCTCAGGAAGGACGGGCCTTGCAGAAGCTGGGTTCGCATGGGATGGGGCTTAGGGGCAGCTGGGCAGGAACCAGGAGCGATGCCAAGGCCCCCAAGGGCCCCAGACCTGCACCCTCCCAGCATGGTCAGAGCACCCGGGCCCGCCAGGGGCCCTCAGCCCCACAGCAACGCGGCCAGCCCCTGGGCGGCCCACCCACAGGGCAAACACTCAGTGACCCGTCTACACAGCCAGCACATACAGCAAGCCCCATGTCACTGGCCCTTGGCAGCCCTGGTTCCCTGATGCCAAGTGTCCTGACACCTGCTCCTGTCCCCACAGGGCGCACAGGCCACGTGGGGACAGGTCACCTGGGAGACCCCATCTGACGGGTGTCGTGCCTCCACAAGCCAGGTCCCAGGGCATCAGCAAGAAGAGGGAACCCCGCGTGGCCCCAGTCATACCCACACGGCCTGGTCGCGTCCTCTAGCAGTCCGTGCCCTGCTCAGCCACCACCCACGCCCCCCAGGACACACCCAGGCAAGCACTCACTCCACCTTGACGTCCTCACTGGAAGAGTTTGTGCAGTCCTTGGAGAACAGGAAGTAGACATCAGGGATGTCCCTGCAGGGGACAGACACCGGCCCAGGAGTCCTCCACCCTTATCCAGTGGCCAGGAGGAGCAGGTCACAGCCCCAGCAGTTTCCGAGGGACCCAGGTCCATCTCAGGCCTCCATCCCTGTTGAGAGGCTGAGAGGGGAGACCAGGCCGGAGCAGGAGCCGTGGACGGGACAGTCCTGGGGGGCCGAGGACAGAGTCAGAGGGACACGGAGTCAGGTGGAGGAGGGGAGGGAGTCGGGTGGAGATGAGTGAAGGACACGGGACTGGGGACGTGGGCAGTCCTGGGCCATCGGGAGGCTGAGGCGTCCCCTGTACCACGGCGCACGTTCTGCCAGGACAGCAGATGTTGGCACACCAGCCCAGCCACCAGATGAAGTATCCCCCATCCCAGACCCCGGTGGGAGCCCTTGTGACAGCCCCTGTGATGAGCACCCCTGAAGGGACAGCAGGACCTTGAGACTGCAGCTACGCCCAAGCTCCGCTCTT